TCGAGGCGGGTAACCCGATCATCATATGCCGAATGAGAAGATGAGCTAGCTCCTTTGGCCTTCTCTAGGATCCGTACGCCTTCAGAACCCATAAGCGGCACCCGGCCCTTGTAAACTCCGGTTGCCGCCAAGATGGCCTCATGTTTTTGATTTTCATCAAGTTCGTCATCAGAATCAGCCAGCTCATCAACTCTCTTCCCCCGCTCTTCCTCATATTTTTTCTACAAGTTCAAAAATTTATTAGATAAGAGATCAAAAAAATCGAAATTTATTGAATTATGTTTCATTATTTACTTCAATTTCAGAAAGGCGGGGAGGTGGCATGGCACCCTTCTTCGTCCAGCAATGTGCCATCTGGAAAGTTCAGAGAAACCTAATCATCATCATTGATCAATTAACTGATATTTAAATCTAACTAATATTATCAACTCATCAAATTCTAAACTCATTTCCTCAATGTTTTAACTTAATTAATTAGTTAATTAATTAATTTACATTTAACTAATATTATTGTTAAATATTATCTCATTAATAATTCACAATAATAATTCACACTAAACTAAATAATAATAAAGTTTCAATCCTAGCTATATATATTATGCATCCCATTAACAATAATTAACTAATTTAACTTATTACTTAGTTAATTTCCATTTAACTAATATTGTTAAATATCATTAATTCACAATAATATATAATTCACACTTAACTAATAAAGTTTGAATCCTAACTTAAATCACTACAAATCCTAAATTATGCATTAACAATAATTAACTAATTAATAAACAAATTAAACCTAATCATCATCATTGATCAATTGACTAATATTTAAATCTAACTAATATTATCAACTCATCAAATTCTAAACCCATTTCCTCAATGTTTTAACTTAATTAATTAGTTAATTAATTAATTTACATTTAACTAATATTATTGTTAAATATTATCTCATTAATAATTCACAATAATAATTCACACTAAACTAAATAATAATAAAGTTTCAATCCTAGCTATATATATTATGCATCCCATTAACAATAATTAACTAATTTAACTTATTACTTAGTTAATTTCCATTTAACTAATATTGTTAAATATCATTAATTCACAATAATATATAATTCACACTTAACTAATAAAGTTTGAATCCTAACTTAAATCACTACAAATCCTAAATTATGCATTAACAATAATTAACTAATTAATAAACAAATTAAACCTAATCATCATCATTGATCAATTAACTAATATTTAAATCTAACTAATATTATCAACTCATCAAATTCTAAACCCATTTCCTCAATGTTTTAACTTAATTAATTAGTTAATTAATTAATTTACATTTAACTAATATTATTGTTAAATATTATCTCATTAATAATTCACAATAATAATTCACACTAAACTAAATAATAATAAAGTTTCAATCCTAGCTAGCTATATTATGCATCCCATTAACAATAATTGCTAATAAATAATAATTGGTGATAATTAATAACCTAATAATTAAGCTAGCTAACTAATTAATTAAATCACTACAAGTCACTAATTAATTAATCTATAATAAGCTAGCTAATACTTAAATCATCACTACACATCCTAAATTATTATGCATTAATAATAACAATAATTTAACTAATTAATATTTATATTTAAATTTAACTAATTAAATTACGTTAATAGTTTAATAATATATTGTTAATAATATGAAAATTAACATGACCTCACTAAATTACGTTAATAGTTTAAATAAATGAACAACTAACCTCACTAATTAATTATTAAGCTAATAATTAATTATTATTATATAAAGAAAAAAGAATCCTAACCTCACTAATAATAATTAATTATTAAGCTAATAATTAATTTATCACACAATTAAAAGAAATTAGTTAAAATGACATACCTTATCTGCATAAACTCGGAAAATGATGAACTGACGGATTACATCATTCCATCTTTAAACCGATACTACATCACTCGAATCTACGAATTTTTGAACTGATAATTGTTGTTCTTGCAATTGTAATGGACGATGGAGTTGGGTTATATAAAAAAATTTGTCACGGATTTGTCACGGATTTATCCGTGACAAATCTTTTTCCGTACCGTATTATTAAAGGTTACCGCTGGAAAATCAATAATTGAGGTTTGTCACGGATTTTGTCACGGATCCATCTGTGACAAAGTTTTTTTGAAATTTGTCACGGATTTGTCACGGATCTGTCCGTGACAAATGCCCGGAAGCAAAAAAAGTATTCACCGGAGTACAAAACCGGTCGCCGGAGTAAATCCGTGACAAATAATTTTCGTGACAAATCCCAAAATTCCGTGACAAAGCCCGTGACAACTTTGTCACGGCCGGAATCCGTGACAAAAATCCGTGACAAACGGCGTGTTTTTTTGTAGTGAGATTTCATTCGGAAAAAAAAAATCCTTAATCAGGTCTGCTTTGAAATGTCAATATATATTATTTATACATTATAATCTTTATATAGTTTATTTATATTCATTTATTATTAAAACTTAGAAAATTCCTCCCAAATCATTGTATAGTATATCTTCTCGACTTATCATACATTTTTAATACGTATATTATAAAGATTATAAGTATGCAAAACCATTTCATCTGTTAAATCATGCAATAATGTTTTCCCTCTTTGCTTATAGAAGATATACAGTATAAATCGAGAAAATATACTATAGTGTACAATATTTATGAAGGAACTTTATTATTTTTCATAATATATTATTAAAATTAATTTTAAATAGATTATAAATAGAAGATAATATGAATATATACATATTCAGAAATTACATTAAAAGTTTTATAACATTAATAAAAGAAAATTTAATTTTAATAAAAGTTGGATATATAAAGTAAAAGATTATAAAACACTTTACATTGACCAAAGTACATGACAATGCTCTCTATCGAACAAGACAAGATCAGAGCAAACCAAATGTTATAAAATCCTTATTTATAAAGCAGTTTACATTGACCAAAGAGCATTGCATGTACTCTGGTCTGGTCTGGTCTTGTTTAGTAAATGTCTAGTTTATGAGTAATTTATAATTTTTTAGGTCTGGTCTATTTATGTCTAGTCAGGTTTGGTCATGTCAAATCTTGTCCAAGACTGAAATAAGTCTAAGAAAAAACTTTTGAAACATATCAGATTAGACAAAAATTGATCAGGCTAAATTACACTAGAAAAAAAAAATAGTTCACTTAAAAATATCTATGATTCCACATTTAATTAGTTAATTTGTCTCTGATGGAGTATATGGCCCGGGGACCCCCGGCCCACAGACTCCTGCTTCTCCTACACGGGCCCATCAAGCTCAATGGGCACACAAAGCCCGAACAAAGCGGCCCAAGCATGAAGAAGCCCACGGTGCACATGTGAGTGCCTTCGGCCTCATGGCCGAAGGCTCCAAATTCTAGAAGACAACTTGATATGTACCTGCAAAGCCCCGGCCGGGTACACTATCCACCAGTCTCATGTTTAATTATTGAAGACATTTGCTCACTTTCTTCAAAAAAAAAACTGGGGTGTATATATTTGCAATTATCACAAATTCAAAGTGCTCAAGATATGCTCTTAAAATCTCCGTATGGTCACAGTTAGAGAGTTGCCGTTACAGAAGGGGAGAAATGCCCTCTTTTAAGGGAATAGAGAGATTTTTGCTCCAAAATTAAGTTTGAGGGCTTAGCTGCCCTTTAGTAAGGACTCTATGGGTGTTTTTGGCCCTTTTCCCATATTTTTACTTGGATTGCTTTCAGACCATATCAGACCAGACCAGATAAGACTTAAACAGACTACACCATACTCAAACAGACCAGACCAGACCAGATTTATACACACCAGACCAGACCAGATTTGACTTTCGTAGTTATAAAATACACATAGACCATACATTTACTAGATCAGACCAAATCATACCAGATTTAAACAGACTAGACAGACCCGCAAATTATAGTCTAAGTGAAAACATCTTTAGCCTCAATAATATATTTTAGAGTTGTCAAAAGGTGCAAAGTCTGAAGTGTTATTTGTGATTAACGCAAAATATACTCTTTCCGTACTAGGTTAAGCTTCTCCGATCCATTTCCTTTTTGGAATATTCCAACTTAACTTGCCATTTCTATTTTAGAAATAACTAGTCTTATGAAGTATTTATAAACTAATCAAAATGCGACATGAATTATAAACTATATACTACGTATATGACTTCGAAGCTAACAATTATTACAATTGACTTCAATATTTTTAAAAAGAAAACACAATTGGCTTAAATATATAAAAGTACACAATTGGGAGTTCGAAGTGATATGCTTCTTCTGGGGTTGGATGAGGGCATGACTTTGGAGAGAACTAAGTGGAGTACGGGTATTCGCGTGAAGGAGTGATCTCGTATAATCTTTTTCCCTCATTTTTTTCCTTGTTGTTTATCCTTATATATATAAGCATTATTTGTAGCCTTTTTATTTTATCATTTTTATGTATATTCATCTCTTTTTATATTATCTTTTTATAATAGCTTATCTTTTTTATCTTTATTTTCTTTCTTTTCCTTTTGGTTGTGATATCATGTATCGATTCATATTAGCCGACCTCAATATCTTTTGGGACTAAGGCTTGGATGTTGTTGTTGTTACCCACCTTGCGCTAAAAGCTAAAGAAAGCTCAAAACACTTTAAATATTGTTTAAAAATTGATTTAAAATTACTAGAAATAAAAATAATTTAGTATGATTGGAGCTATGTTGAGATATAAATGGACCAAATCAAAATTGTATTCTGTCTTATCATTTTGAATTACAATATCATTCATGTCACGCCCCGGGCCTAGCCGGACACGTCAACAACCCGCCGTACAGTACGAATAGTCAACCGCAGTCCGACTCATCCATACTATACAAGGCGTCATGAATATCATTCACACATAGTACATCCATAAACAAGCATAATGTAAGTCATTCATTTAAAACAGCGGAAGCATAAATACAATTGTTCAAGCCACACTTGGCATAACTCGGCATACAAGCCCTCAAAGTAATTATTCAAAAATAATATTCAAGAGCATTAACGTAATTGTTTTTAAAACAGAACGGAAGAAGCACGAACCACGTCTTCTCCCCTTGATCCTCCCGAAGCCGTGGGCGATGGTAGCAACCTTCAAGTCCTACCTGAAACTGTGAGGTGGCCTCCCCCGTGAATGGGAGGTCAGTACTTGGAAATATTTGACAAGTACAATAGCAACTATACTAAGTATAATCAACGTTTTAATTTCCAAGACCCTCAACTTAGGGTACTATTATATTATAGGCCATAACCCTCGGTTACCCCTTTTTCTTTTAACTGTACTTACTTTATATAAAGTCAAGTAGTCGGCCCGTAGGCCCATATTCATTTAGAATTCATCGTTTCCATTCCCCCGTGACCGCAAGTCACGATAACCCCGTGGGGTCCCATCGAGCCCCAATTGTATAGCATGGGCTCGGCCCAACTACATTTCTATACAATCCTCTAACTCAATATATCATATCAAAATTTGTATGGCAAGGGCTCGGCCCAACTACATTTCCATACCAACCATAACTTCGTGGCAAGGGCTCGGCCCAACTACGTTTCCACGGAGGTCACATATACATGGCAAGGGCTCGGCCCAACTACGTTTCCATGCTAATCATATTACATGGCATGGGCTCGGCCCAACTACATTTCCATGTCATCCTAGAGTCCAACTCTAATTATTTTCATAATTAAATTCTCAAGCAATTCCTATGCCTAGAATCAATTTCCGTAGGTAGCCTTTAGGCCTACCCCTATCACCTTAGTGTTCACACAATTCAACCTTAAAGCTGTACTGAATTTCAACTTTGTCCCCATAGATTCTTGGAACTTCGGCCACAATCGTGATGTGAATCGCGGATCTCTATCGGATACAATGGTTATAGGAACCCCATGTAGCCTCACGATCTCATCCACATACAACTTGGCTAACCTCTCTAGTGCATAGGTGGTGTTGATAGGTAGAAAGTGTGCACTCTTTGTGAGCCTATCGACCACAACCCATACGGCATCATAGTTCTTAATCGTCCGTGGCAGCCCCACCACGAAATCCATAGTCACGTGCTCCCACTTCCATTCAGGAATGGAAAGTGGCTGTAGTAACCCAGCCGGATGCTGATGTTCTGCCTTAACTTGCTGACAAGTAAGACACCTACTGATGTACTCGGCTATTTCCCTCTTCATACCCGACCACCAGTAACTTTCCTTCAAATCACGGTACATCTTCGTGCCTCCCGGGTGCATGGCATACGCCGATGAATGAGCCTCTTCTAAGATGGACTTTCGGAGCTCATCATCCAACGGTACACACACTCGGTCACGAAATAATAAGAGACCATCGTCTCTCTCCCTGAAATCCTCAACCGGTCCCGCTAGCATGCGTTCACGGATCTTCATAAGTTCTTCGTCGGTTTCTTGACCCTTCTTGATTTCATCAAGTAATGTAGGTCTCACCTCGAATCTAGCTAACAAGGCACCATCGCTAGATACCTCCAATTGGGCTCTCAATGCCCTCAAGCTAGTCAATAATGCCCCAGATGAATTCTTTCGGCTCAAGGCATCCGCTACCACGTTGGCTTTACCGGGGTGGTACTCGATAACTAGATGGTAGTCTTTTATCAACTCCATCCACCGTCTCTGTCTCATGTTTAACTCTTTTTGAGTAAACACGTACTTCAGGCTTTTATGGTCGGTGTATATATGACATGTTTCCCCGTAGAGATAATGTCTCCAAATCTTCAATGCGAACACCACCGCCCCCAGCTCTAAGTCATGAGTGGGATAATTTACCTCATGCTTCTTCAACTGTCGTGAAGCATAGGCAATCACCCTCCATTCTGCATCAAGACACATCCAAGCCCTTGGATGCTTGCGTCGCTGCAGACATCGTACCCCACACCCTGTTTGGGTAGTGCGAGTACCGGTGCCTCGGTCAATCTCTTCTTCAGTTCAAGGAATCCCTTCTCACATCGGTCATCCCATACAAACTTGGCCCCCTTTCGAGTGAGCTTTGTCAATGGCGATGCCAAAACTGAGAACTTCTCCACAAATTTTCGGTAGTACCCTACCAATCCAAGGAAGCTACGAATTTCCTTGACGTTCTTTGGCCTCTCCCATTCAGTAATGGCCTCAATCTTCTTGTTATCTACGGCAATCCCTGATCCCGAAACCACATGCCCGAGAAAGCCAATCTCCCTTAGCCAAAATTCACATTTCGAAAACTTGGCATAGAGTTGCTTCTCCCGTAGTGTCTCAAGAACCAGTGTCAAGTGTTCCTCATGCTCTTCTTCACTCTTTGAGTAAATCAAGATATCATCTATGAACACAATCACAAACCGGTCCAAGTATTTATGAAATACTCGGTTCATCAAGTCCATAAATGCCACCGGGGCGTTGGTTAGCCCGAATGACATAACTAGGAACTCAAAATGACCATACCTTGTGCGGAATGCACTCTTCGGTATGTCATCCTCCTTTATCTTCAGTTGGTGGTACCCCGACCTCAAGTCAATCTTTGAAAACACTGTCGCTCCTCGGGGCTGATCAAACAAGTCATCAATCCTAGGCAAGGGATACCTATTCTTGATTGTGACCTTGTTCAGTTGACGATAGTCAATGCACATTCGAAGTGTTCCATCTTTCTTTTTCACGAAAAGGACCGGTGCTCCCCACGGAGAGTGACTCGGCCTTATGAAACCGTTATCCAATAGTTCTTGCAATTGGGTTTTCAATTCGTTAAGTTCAGCGGGTGCCATTCTGTATGGCGGTATAGAGATTGGTTTGGTGCCGGGTTCAACCTCGATCACGAACTCAATCTCCCTATCGGGTGGAAGTCCTGGTAAGTCTTTTGGGAAGACATCCGGATACTTGCACACTACTCTCACATCATTGATGTCTATCTCTTCTTTGGTTTTGTCCACCACATACGCTAGGTATGCGTGGCATCCCTTTCTCATCATATTCCTCGCCCTCACGGCGGATATGATACAACTGTTTGATTTGCCTCTATCTCCCTCGAAGCGTAAGGTCAACCCTTCACCGCCTTCGAGTTCAAGAATCTTTGTGTAGCAATCGACCCTAGCATGATGTTTCTCAAGCCAATCCATCCCGAGGATTGCATCAAACTCGATCATACTCAGCGGTACGAAATCACACGTCAAGTTCTGTCCCTCCACCTCCACCTCACACGATGGATAGTGGCTATCTCTCTCGATATCATCCCCTAGAGGCGTGGACACCAATAGGGTTTGAGTCATCGGTACAAGTGGTCCGTTGAATCCGCTGGCGAACGCCTCACTCACAAATGATCGTTGCGCCCCGGTATCAATAAGGATCCTTGCGTCTCTCCCGTTTATCTTTAGTGTTCCTACATTCATAAGTAATGTAAGACACACTATCTAATTACTAGGCTTGTTTCTTAAGTCGTAGAGTATGTTGGTCGTGGTTCAGGTGAAGTCCGTTCGACACCCTCCCGAAATTCCCCGGTTTCTAACCTTTAGAACCGCTCTAGGACTAAACCAGGTGAAAGCCGGCCGCTTTTCACGAAAGCCGGCCGGTTTTCGTCTGCGAGAAAAATCCCTGTATGTAAATCACGAAAGCCGGGCGGCTTCCACGAAAGCCGGCCGGTTTTCGTCGCCGCAGTTTTTATTCATGGAATGGGTTTCGAAGCCGGCCGGTTTCTACGAAACCCGACCGGGTTTCAGCAGCGCAGGAATCCCCAGGCCCAACGAAAGCCGGGCGGCTTTCGCCAAAGCCGGGCGGCTTTCAGCTGCGAGAAATTTCCCTGGTCAGACATTTATGAAAGTCGGCCGGTCTTTACAAAAGTCGGCCGGTTTTTGGTTGCGAGGATTTTCCTGATTAAATGTTGACGAAAGCCGGGCGGTTTTTGGTGGAAACCGGACGGCATTCGTCGCCGCAGTATTTTCCCAATAAATCAAGACGAAAGCCGGGCGGCTTTCGTCAAATGTCGGGCGGCATTCGCCCAGGGCGGGGATTCTTCCTCCCATTTCCCATACAATCCCGACCAAACCGTCGGGGTTACAAATTTTGCACATTACAAACACTCCTATTGCATACAATGGAGTTAATAACATGAGTTTAAGATTTTACCCGCCACGGAGTCCGGGTTAGCACGTGTGTCCGCCTCCGTCATCGCATAGACCCTAGCCTGGGTCTTGCCTTGGTTCACGGATGGCGCGTTGCTTGTACTTGGCCCTCCGTGCGTCGTGCTCGCGTGAGGTGCCCCTGCTCGGTTCCTACTTGCCGTGGTCCCACTGCTAGGTCATGCACCCATGACTCGCCCAAGTTGTGGGCAGTTTGATCTCAAGTGCCCCGTCTCCCCGCATTGGTAGCACCTAGGGGGATCGCGGCACTTGCCCGCGTGGTTCCTCTTGCAGTTGTTGCACCTGCTAATGCCCGAGCCTTGCGACCTCGAGCCTTGCCCTCCTGGGCCTTGATTTCCCCTAGACGGTGGTGCGGGCATTCTGAAAGACCCACCTCCCCCGTGGTTCCCCTTCTTGCTAGAACCTTGGGGGCCGGTGTTCTCCCATTTCCTCTTCTTTTCCTCCTCGGCTTTTTTCAGCTTTCTTTCTTCCCATTCCTTCTCCCCTTTCAGGCCTTGCTCCATCACTTGACTAAACGTCATGTTAGGCAATTGTGTTGCCCGTTCACGCACGTCTAAGTCTAAAGCATCCCAAAAGTGATTCACCATCCGGTTCTCATCACAAGCATACTCCGGTATGAACTCCGCGAGCTCCCTGAACTTGTGCTCGAGTTGCCTCACGGTATACTTGCCTCCTTGGGTCAAGTTGGTGTATTCTCTCCTCTTCAAGTTCACCTCGAAGTCGGAGTAGTATTGGTTGAAGAATTCCTGTCGGAAATTCTCCCAAGTTACGGCCTCACCGTACTTCCCCTTGACACCGTCCCACCATGTGGACGCCATCCCCTCTAGCAACCTTGTTGCTACTCTCATCTTCATGTTTGGCGGCAGCTGCATATCAAGGGCCGCTTCATTGAACCTCTTGATCCACTCCGCCGTAACGGATATATCTCCCGTTCCATTGAACGGTTTACACCCCAGATCTCTTGCTTCCTTGAGGTACTTAGAGATCCTTATTATCGGGACCTCGACACCTCGATCTACTCGGGACTCTACATGTCCCCTAGAACCCGCATGGCTTCCCCTTCTTGAAGCCCCTCCCAAAGCACGCCTTGCCTGGCGCCTTTGGCGATCCTGTTGAAATTGATGGAGTAGTTCCTCCATCCTTTCCAGAGCGTCATCATCGTCGCTCCCCTCACTAGCATCATCATACTCCCCATCATATGGGGTCTCAACCGGCTCAGTTCCCGGTTGATACGTCGAATCCTCCTCAGACTCATAGGACTCGTTGACTGTTTCAACATAACTGTCACTCACGGTCTGATCTTGGCCTCCACGGCCCTGTCCTCTGGACACCCTAGAAGTCCCTCTACTGCCTTGCACGGATCCTCCCGGTGCTCGGCCAGTCGGGTTCCTTCTAGTTACTTTCCCGGTACGTTCCATTTCTGAAAGAAATTGAGAATGAGTCATTAGACTCGTATCAAATGTCAATTGACGGATAGGTACTTAAAGACATCCTTTGGCTCAAATCACCGCCATACCAATTGCTAAGGGTACCATCTTAACAATTAGAGACATTGCAACTTAAGTACCAAAAGTTCTATAAGTACAAAACCTTATGCTCATGGTTTTCAAATTCATTTTCAAAAAGAAATTTTGAAGCTTCATTATGATGTTTACGGACTAAGGCTCTGATACCAATTAAATTGTCACGCCCCGGGCCTAGCCGTACACGTCAACAACCCGCCGTACAGTACGAATAGTCAACCGCAGTCCGACTCATCCATACTATACAAGGCGTCATGAATATCATTCACACATAGTACATCCATAAACAAGCATAATGTAAATCATTCATTTAAAACAGCGGAAGCATAAATACAATTGTTCAAGCCACACTTGGCATAACTCGGCATACAAGCCCCCAAAGTAATTATTCAAAAATAATATCCATGAGCATTAACGTAATTGTTTTTAAAACAGAACGGAAGAAGCACGAACCACGTCTTCTCCCCTTGATCCTCCCGAAGCCGCGGGCGATGGTAGCAACCTTCAAGTCCTACCTGAAACTGTGAGGTGGCCTCCCCCGTGAAGGGGAGGTCAGTACTTGGAAATATTTGACAAGTACAATAGCAACTATACTAAGTATAATCAACATTTTAATTTCCAAGATCCTCAACTTAGGGTACTATTATATTATAGGCCATAACCCTCGGTTACCCCCTTTTCTTTTAACTGTACTTACTTTATATAAAGTCAAGTAGTCGGCCCGTAGGCCCATATTCATTTAGAATTCATCGTTTCCATTCCCCCGTGACCGCAAGTCACGATAACCCCGTGGGATCCCATCGAGCCCCAATTGTATAGAATGGCTCGGCCCAACTACATTTCTATACAATCCTCTAACTCAATATATCATATCAAAATTTGTATGGCAAGGGCTCGGCCCAACTACGTTTCCATACCAACCATAACTTCGTGGCAAGGGCTCGACCCAACTACGTTTCCACGGAGGTCACATATACATGGCAAGGGCTCGGCCCAACTACGTTTCCATGCTAATCATATTACATGGCATGGGCTCGGCCCAACTACATTTCCATGTCATCCTAGAGTCCAACTCTAATTATTTTCATAATTAAATTCTCAAGCAATTCCTATGCCTAGAATCAATTTTCGTAGGTAGCCTTTAGGCCTACCCCTATCACCTTAGTGTTCACACAATTCAACCTTAAAGTATCTCTTGAGACTACTTAAGGCATATCTATTCACAATCCTACCTCTTAGGATTTGTTTCATCATTTATTTATATTAATTCCCCGACTAGTGTTTTGATACTAATTGGATAATCTTAGAACATGCCAAGTTCCTATTTTCCAATTGACTTTTCATTTCAATTGATTTCCCAACACAAGTATAGTTTGATCTCAATATCAAAAATATCGCTTTACTCCGTTCATGAATTTCATACATGGCGTAAAGTATATTTTATCACAATATCATCATAGTAATTCCATTAATATGTCGTTCTATTTATTTCACATAATCATACACAATTATTCTAAATTTGTATATCATGCTTCACTTACTCATATCAATATCATTTTCATTTAGGCATTATTAATCATTAATAATCCATGAAAATCCCATCTAATTACTTTAGGCAATCTTATGAAATTAACTCACTAATTATAAGCAATATAGTCAGTCATCCTCACCTTATGAAGTGCTGAAATAGTTGCCTTTGCTAAGCCCCTCGATCAATCCCCGTTCTAGGCCGATTGGAGGTGTAAAACTGAACTGTTGGGCAAAAGCCGGGCGGCTTTCACGAAAGCCGGGCGGCTTTCGTGGTCTGCTACTACGACTAGCTCCTTTGAAGTGGCGGTTTCCGGCGGTTTCGACTCCTATCGATTGGCCAACCCTCCTAAGTTAATTACCACCACTTTATATCAATATTCTACACTTTTAAACGCGTAGAACTCATGATTTAATCCACCATATGATTTCTTAAAAATCATGCACAATAAAACTAGTTAAAAGAGTAGAAATTGTGTTCTTTACCCTCTTCTTCTAGCTTTTCTTCTTGGATCTTTCTCTCCTCTTGGTTTCTTCAGCTCCAGAACTTTGAGAGCCTTTTCCCTGGACCTTATCTCCCTTGTGCTGGCCGAATGGATTGAAGAGAGGGTAGGGGAGAAGTCCTTTTCAACCAACACAATGATTTGTGTGGGATAGGACCCTAGCATGGGTTTTTGTCTCAAAGGAGACTTCCTCCCTCTCCCTTGTGCGTACCAGCACGTTTAGCTGCTCCCCTCCCCCATTATTTGATCAATCAGCACCCATAAAAACGTGGGGTGGCCCCCACTTATGTGAGAGGTCATCCCATTACGTCCCGGTGTGTACAATCGGCCCCGAAAGTTGTGTTTCTCGGTCCGTTTTAATCATATTTTATTTTATCGGGCCAAATAAAATATATCACGTGTTCCTAATAATTATGGGCCTTTAGAATAGATGTATATTCCCCAACATTAATTTAGGAGTCTCCGAAACTCATTTCGGGCTGTTATCCGTTAAATTGCCAATACCGGTAATTGGGCCCCGTTTGACCAACCGGTCAACTCCATGCCTTTCTTATGGCCCAAATAGAATATCCACTCCCATATAGGTGTCATCTAGACCAAGATGAATATAATATGTGGTTCGGGAATTATTGGGCGGTCCACGTTCCCGCTGTGGGCCCCACATGCAATTTACTATTCACGTAAAAGAAATAATGAACTTTAACAATTACGCAAATTCATAAATCATCTTTCATTGTTTATTACATAATTTACTAACAGTAAATATGCTCGGGGTCGGTGTTACTATCAAATCCAGTATTAAAGATGTGAATATATGTGTCATGTCTTATTCCTAATCCAGTATCTTAATTACTATCAAATCCGTGTTTTGATTACTCAATGACTTTCAACCAAAGAAAAGTTCATTATTACTCTGTCTGTCCCTTTAAATTTTGCAAACTTTCTCACTAAAGCTGCAGAAGAAAGCCATTATGCCTGTATACCACAAATTGAAACAGATATTAGAATAACAAGTATTAGGCTAAGGTGATTGGGTAAGAAGAACTTCGGGATAGGGCTTATGGTGATATCTTGGTGGACTAAACTCGGGTGACCTCTTTGGTTAGGAATTCAGGTAAGCTAAACTCGAGTAAGGGATTTTGGGTAAGATATTTCAGATATATAGGATCTCGGTCCTTGAGTTTTTGAGAATTTCGGGTGTAGACCTCGAAGATAAGAATGCGGGTCTTAAAGTTTAGAGGATGACGGCTGAAGATATCGGGTGACATATTTCAGGTGACCGAGTTTTACGTGTTGGAGGGAATTCGGGTTGGGGGAATCCGGGTCTCAAGATTTCGGCTTTATAAGATTTCAGATGTCCAAATTTGGTTGTAGAAACTTCGGGGTTAAAGGATTTCGGGGGTCCAAACTATGATTGTGAAGACTTCGGGGGTAGGATGTCGGGTGACAGGCTTTGGGATTTTGTTTATGAGGATATCGGGTAAGGGAATTTTGGGTTCTCGTTTCTTTGTGGTTGATGTCTGGTAAAACGATATCAGGTTAAAAATCTCTATTGCCCATCTTGGTGATTTCGAAACTTTGAGGATTTCGGGCTGAGATGCAAAGTTCAAGATATCAGGCTACAGATCTCAACTTTATCTCTTAGGTAGGCTCAGTTGGGTTTTACAGAGCCATTGCGACATTTCCCATTGATCTCTTTACTCCCCCTAATTAGGAGCACTCAGTAGGATGCTTTGACATTGTTTGGCGCTTAGGAGGAAAACTTTGAAACTCACCCTCAAAAGGTGCATCCTTGAGTTGTCTTGCATTGTGCATTGTGTGACGCCAGAAGGAAATAGAGATGTTCCTCCTCTGAATTTACAAGTATTGTTGTTGTCACCTGGGGAGTAAAGTAGGAAACTCCCCCTTGGAATGTGCTTTCTTCATTGTACGACACCATGAGGAGTGAAAAGAAACACTCCTCCTCAGAATATGCACTTATTGTTTATTCTTGGCATGTGTTGGTGTTGAGGTGTGAATTTTTTTATTTCCAGCTCAGTAGGGAGTATACACTCTAATACTCTCCTTCATAATGTGCACTCTTGCTCCCCTTTAAAGAATGATTCATCTTGAATAGGTGCATTGAGAGCTTTTGTTGAATTTGTTTGAAAGCTCAGAAAAAGATTTCTTCATCGCTCCCCCTTGACGTATGCTACGTCATGTGATTGTGGGTTCTGAATTGAGGTGTTCAGAAACCTTTATGTGTTATCCGGTTTTGAACTGATGTATCCAGAAACAATGTTGTAGAGCGGGTTCTGAGCTATTTTACTCAGAATGCCAAGGGGTGGTTGCTCAACAATTGAATTTCCCATCATGTGTGTGTAGCAAACATATCAGGTACCACACATGAGGCGCACCTGCAAAAGAATTCAGAAACATTTGGTACCCATTTAAGGATAGGCCCGTCCTTTCTAGCATAACACAAATTTTGAAATTTTTGATTTATTTTTGTTCCTAAACCAGTCTCTTTTGAAGCTTTCGTAAAGCTACATGACTGTAATTTTGATCTAGGATTCCATTTTTGAATGATGGGGTTGCATTTTGAGAAGTAGAGATTTTCTCCCTTAATAGACATTTCAAATGTTTGATTGAATAAATCTTGAGGGGATATTTCAGGTGAACATCATCACAAACATCATAGGTAAAAGCCTTAAATCTTTTCTATTTAGATTTCCCATAACTCACATCAAAAAGATGACTTGAAGTATTAGATTGCCTAGTTGCATTAACATAAGCACTATCGTGAGTTTTCACATGAGTAGAACCATCAGAAGAAAACTTAGAAGATTTGTCTGTGAAAGAACTAGGTGACTTACTTTCAGAACTAGAACGAGAATCCTTGAAAGTACTACAAGACTTAGTAAAAAGATATTTTGATTTTTCAGAAACATTTTAAGTCTTGCAGCCTCCTTTTTAGTTTGTTTGAAAATTCAGACCATCCTCTTCTCTTGGCGTTTATTAAAAACATTATCTTTTGGTTTTTCAAAATGAGAGCGAGAGGATGAGCCGTTTTCTTTAGAAGTCTGTTGTGAAGGAGGTTTCGAGAAGTTGCTCATAGAAACGGGAGATGAGGTTAGAGTCCTTTTTTCTTGAAAAATGATTTTTCCTTTTGTTCTTTTCGAAAAGGGAATTATCAGGAGTTTTTGAGCCTTGAGAGGATATATTAGTTAATTCTGTAATTTTTTTCAAAAGATTTTCCTTTTTCAGTTTTGAACTTTTCTCGTTCTTCTTCAAAAGAAGAATGAAGATCAACCATTTTCTTGATTATTGCAGGAAAATATGGTTCAACAATCTTTAAAGTCGAGGCTTCTTCCTCATTGGACACAGTTTGGTTTTCAGGAGGAGAGAGGGCAATATAATTATCAGACAATAGAAATTTGTGTAGTAGCATACTAGCATAGCTGTCATTAAGAGCAGTATAATCAAATCTAATTTCAGCTTTGGCTCTATTCTTTCTTTTGTCCTCTTCTTCCTCATTAATTTCGGAAACACTAGTAAAATAAATTAACTTAGCTAACCCTAACTTCATGTACCTAATGTCATAGAATTGGGCGCAATCAACCTTCTTCAAGTTTTCATGATTTTGAAAGCCTAGCCCTTCTCTAGGATTATAAAATTTAGTGTCCATTGGTCTATTGTTTAACAGAAAAACAGTTTGTTTCGATTGACCTCTCTTAGCAAGAATATCCTCTAACTCATTTATTTTAGAATAAAGACGACCATGTTCCTTGTTAAGAAGTTCAAAACGAGTAACAGTTTCAGAACATTTTCACTTATTTTCCTCCAGATCCTTAGTTAAGTCACAGACAGTTTACTTAAGTTTTGCTACTTCAGACTCTAAGCTAGTAACTTTATCTTGTGAATCTTTTAAGCGCACACCTTGATGTGCTCCTTGTTCCATTTTTTTCATACACCTTTGATTATTAGCAAGTCTATCTTCAAGTTCCTTTATTTTATTGGAATTAGAAGTACTTACCTGAAATTTGTCAGATACTGTGCTTGATCCGTTGCTTGAGAGCATTGATGGGTTGGAGTAGGAACCCATTGATGAATGTCGGAGATGGGTCCTTTAGAGAATAGCTTTGACCAGCTTTGTCTTGTAGAAGAATTGACCAAATTTGTCTCTGTTTTGACTTTGACCGGTGATTGACAATGTTTTTCGGAAAATAGATGATATATTGGTCAAAATAGGCGAGTGAGGGAGTGTGAGAATGTGTTTTGGGGTACCCCGAGTATTATTTGCGTAAATCGGATCACCGAGTCAAAAGTTATGGTCAAAACAGTGTAGACATGCAAAATAGGAAAAATTGACCATTGAATGATCGTTGACGCGTACTGTTCAGCTTTAGAATGACATGTAAGAGATATGGATCATGGGTAAGAGAAGGAGGTCCCAAATTGTTTTACTTGATGGAGGCCCGAAATCTTGATCTTTATTGAGGACTCGAAATCTTTAAGACCGAAATCATAGGCAAGAGATAAGAAACTCGGTGAAGTGCTTGTGGTTTTTATTTCGGGTGGAGATGCGAGATTAATAACTCGGACTTTAGCTCCTCAAAGAAGACTCTGGCATGAGCTGCACAAATTGATTTCGGGTGTTGGTAAAAACTAATCTCGGGCTAGCAAATTTCAGTGATCTCGGTTCAGCTGCAATAAAGTGATTTCGGGTGCCCGAATTCTGCAAAGTGTCGAAGTCTTCACATGTACGAAATTATAGAATTCGGGTGAGCGAAACACGTAACATGATCAACCAGGTATTTTGCTCTGTGATCTTCTCTTCTTTTCTTTACAGCCGCCGCAACAATTAAACAAAAAGGGGAAAGTATAGAAAACGTATATGTGGTTTGAGCCATTTTCAGATAGGGGCATGTGTTTCATTTTCTAACAAAGTGAGACATGTGTTTCAATTCCGTTATCATAGCAGGGGCATGGTGTCTAATGCTGTTAGAAAAATTAACTCCGATTTTAAAAAGTCTCCGAAAAAATTAAAAGAAAAATACTGGGAGGTGCGCCTCATCAAGGAGATCAACAAACTATCATTCTCTTTGGATTTTTCAGCTCTATTTGGATTATCTTTTAAAAACAAATTCGCTAATATCAACTTTCTGGTGGACTTTCTGGAGATATGGTGGCTGGAAACAAAAAAATAAAGATAGTTTGTTGATCTCCTTGACGAGACGCATCT